AGGTTTGATTAACAATCTGTTTTATAATATGACACAGATAAAGTGAGAGTTGTTGTTTTGACTAATTTATTTACGCTTTAGGAAACCCACGCATGAATAATAATCTCTATGTTACATTCTCATTGGCCATCTTTTTTACATACATTGTAATTATTAATAAATATTGATTAAAGAACTTCTAATGTGCCATTTTACATGATATTCACTGAGATATCTTTAAAGTAAAATGTGTATAAATCAGTATCTTTAATGTTCTTTAAAGTATTTTATTACGACAAGTGCTTTAAACTGTACGATAAAACTTTGTCACGCGGTGACACAAGTAATTGCACCCTCTAGATCTGTAACAGATGTGTAATACAAGCGTCAGAACGATGTAGAGGACACGCTAGTCAATTCAAACCGCAGAGTCCCTCTTGTTTTTTACGAAGGGTTCGCACTAATCCTCGAGCCGAAAGGACGCTTATGATGCCAAGTAATTCTGCAACTCGGAGATATTAACATATGGGTATTTGAGACACATGCACGCCCGGCCCGGTTTGGTGCTGCGATTAAAGTTTGGAAGATTTGTTTACACTTTTACTTTTGAGACTTCCTTTTAATGACTGACTGAATACGTTCCCTATTTGATATTTCTTCGTTAAGTTAAAGTGTTATTGTACAAAATAAATCGTGAGAAGAAAATGAAATGTACAATTTGAGCGTACATTTTTGTACTTATCTATGTTTGAAGTCGCGCAATCACATTTACATGGCGAAACCGCTATATCGCACCGAATGGAGGAAATTAAAATTCTCAAACAGAGGGCAGTTACACCAAATCACGCCACTAAAACCTCTATATATATTCCAAGTGAATGTTGTAAAAAATCATTGCCTCCGTCTACCCTCCGTCCTCGGCGAGGGGAAAAATCTAATCTGTGCATTTTTTGCGGGACCGCGATGCCACAAAGAATTTCATTTCCCACTGTTCATCTATCTCTATTTCACTGACGGCTCTTGTTCTTGGGCCTCCACCCTCCGCCACTCCCCCCTCAGTCCCCGCCAGCCCAGCGGCCGTTTTTTAGACTTCCTCGATAGGAGATAAGGTTAAGCGCGCTCTTCTTATTAGTGCTTTTCTACGCGACATTCCCAGCCTCACTTCTATTCATAGTTAATATATATAATTAGTGTTTCGATATTGTGTGTCGTTTCTATTTACGATTTAATCGCAATAGCTTGAGACTCACTAAATGAGAGAAGCCGAACGATCGAAACAACGAAATTGGAATCGTAACATCAAAGGCGGAAACAATGATTAAGCCTCAGATTGGTCCACAATGTCGAACATCGTGTTTGTAATCGTAATAAATACGACAAAGAAATCCAACGGGCGAAAGTCAACGTATAATTGTATCACTAGTGTCACAATCAAAGTGAGCCTACACGAAAACGGCATAACGCAATTGTGTATAATTGACATTCAAATCCGTGGGCATTGTCGCATTGTGCCTTTATTGCCACTTATTGACGCGTAATTGTCAATAAATTCCTACGGGATCGGAGTTTAATGTGGGTTTGGGTGAAAAAAGTTATGTTTTATTAATATTTTTACGAGAGCGTTTAGGAGCGATAAGATCGGCCGGCTTGGGAAGTATTTTTTTTTTTCTTTCGATTTCCGTCACGATTTGTTGGCTCATTATTGGTGCGTCGATGGGGGCGATAGGGGCAGCGGTCGCATGCTATCGCGACGGCGATTTTATCGTATCTCTTAGCGACTTTCATCGGGGCTTTCGATTGTCGCATGCCTCCCCCTCTTGGGAAACGTGTTTTCAATAAGGCGAACGCTCGCTATGATTTATTTACGAAACTTCGTCACAAAAGTCAACGCGTCGTTACGAAATCTGTTGAATGTATTCATAAATTATTGGCCTGTTTCTATAATATTGAAAAGTATAAAACATTTATCGTTTTGAACATTAAATTTACCTATCTATAGACATTTCTTAATCTTCATTTTGGTTTACAAATGTTTACTGTTCAAAATTGAAATTTATAGAATTTGTCCCATATATCTATGACGTGTAGCTGGTGAAAAATTTCTTTTCATATAATAGGATGTATAGTCATATACATTTGACAACTGATAGTATTCTCAGAAATATTACCAGATCGACTAAGAGATGGTCTCTACTCCAAATAGTACATAATATTTGGCAAAGATTGAAAATTCTGAGGCCCATATTAATTTGTAAATAATTCGAGGGGAATCATTAAATTTTTTGTCGCACACTTCTGCACGTATGAACTAGCTTAACTGGGGAGTTCCACGGCTTCGCAGAAACTTATAAATATGTGTGTCTGTACTTATGTACGCAGGTCAGAAGTTATACTTCTTTAACGTAACGAAAGAAATATAACTAAACTCCTGTGACAGTACTCTTTGTTTGACATTAAGACGTAAAGACATTAAATGCAATTGATAACGGTTATAAGTTGGAATTATAGGTAAATGTCAAAAAATAGTTATCGGTTGCCATGGCACTACCGTGATCTTGTCGCTTTTTGAGGGTCGGTATGCACGCGCGCGAATTTTACTCGTATTTTTACCAAACGTGGCAAAGAAGTACAAGTAACTTCAAAAATGTGCATATTTATTATTTTTTGGCCCATTGAGCGAGTTACTGGAGGCCCCTTCTCTAAGTGGTTTGGAACACCGTGACATTTGGCAGTGGTTCTCACTTATCAACAAATGAACCGATTTTTCAGGTCTCTTTGAAAAAAAATCTACTCATACCTGCTTACACACCGTATTGACTGTTTAATGAGTTCGGTCAATTTCAGTCCTGATAATCGTTAAAAGTTATTTTATACGAATTCATTTAATGCGCTCACTGTAGATTCAAAATATTAAGGAATCTAACGTACCCAGATATATATACATGTATATATTTGTAGCTGACAGTGCATTGTTGTGACGTTATATAGAGGGATTAATTCAGGGCACGTCGTCGGCTGATATCTGATCTCGGGGTCCTGTAGGGGCTTACTTCGATACGGTGCTTATTATTTTCTGGAGTGAACATCATGTCTTAAAAAATAAAAGAAAGCCTGTTTTATTAAAATTGTTGAAATATCTATATAATAAATTAACACTTTGTACGAATATCACTAATGCGATATTATTAAGATAACGGTTTTGATCTACACATTCCCGACTTCCTCAATTGACAAATACGAATATATAAAACATTTTTAATGTATTCATATTTGACGCTGTGATTTTAACCTCTTTTAAAGATTTTCATGTTTGTAATCTATAATTAGATAGAATAAGATCGGCACAGTCGCTAATATTAAAAATGTTTTGCAAATAGACCATTAAGCTACGCTATGCAATCGCATCTTGAAATACTGTTTGTTTGGCAGAGAACAAAACCCGATAACGCTTATTAAACATGTCGCTCACTGCGCTGACATTATCTACCCTCAATCTGTGCGCCTTGGGCACCGGCTGAGATAGAAAAATGGTGAAATGTCATTACACGTGTAGCGGCTGATTGGGGGAAATGTGTTCATACATTTCCACTTTAAAGCCCGAAATAAACTTCATATAATAAAAATCCCTCTATTGTTTCTGTTTAAGTTTTAAGATGATACTCTATTTTATTAGGTTTTCACTGGAAGACTGTTAAAAGTCAAATGGGTCCACAAATCTTATTTTCCTGTACAGAACTTGCGTCCGCCAAATATTTCCATCGTTCTACAAAGCAGATGGTTCGATTATATTACAGAATCGATTTTGAATACTGTGTAAGGTTGAAAATATAGCAGAGTAGAGCACTAAGACAAACTAGTGTTTACGATAATACTCCTAATAGTTTTCAATGAAAATGGCATTTCTCTTAACAGGGCTAATTCTTCCAATATAAACTGGTAAAGGTACATTAGGGATGGGCTTGTATCGTATAGCAGGAAGCCGTTGACATCAAAAACTCCACGCCCGGTTTTTCGCAATCATCAAATTGATCTGTCCGCGCGCCATCTGGCCCGTGAGTAAAACGCTTTCGAGTTCCCTCAGCCGAGGAATTAATTCATATAAAACACACATCGTTTCGTTGAGAGCCCCGAATCAGTGTCGTTCGATATAAAACTTAACGCTACTTCACTAGTGGAGCATAGCGTTTTGCATTGCATTAGCGTTTTCTCTATTTCGGAAAAACCTTGCCTTCGCCGTTGAACGTTGCTAGCAATATGTTAATAATAAAAATCTAAATATTGCTACTATATATTGGTTCAGGATAGCGATTGTACACCAGGTGAATCTTTTTAAATAACACACCTTATTTCAATTTAATAGACAAAGATATTGTTATAAATATACTCTGATCTGTTAAAGCTTTACACATAATGGAACATTGGCATTTGCTTTCTATGCGCTCACTTGATTCCTTTCTAAACTGGGAGCTCATTAGAGACTTACTGAAACATCGTTTAATAAAACGTTTCGCATCGGAACGTACGCCAAACCGCCAGTTTATTTTAATACGAGCAAAAAGGCAGCTATTACTTCCCCTACCTTAGTTACGAATATGGTCAAAATGCTCTATGGAAAGTTATTGTGCGTGAAAATGGTACTTTTAGTAAACATATTTTTAACAGAGAGCTACAAAAACATTTTCATATTCCAGCTGAAAATTGTTACTCTTTCCGGGCGCAACTCGGCGGGCGTCTGGCGTAGGGCGGGTATACACGTGCGCTCATCAACTAATGGTCCGTGCGCGGCATTTGAACCGAGCCTACACTCCGCACAAAACAACCGCCTGCCTGTAGTCGCAGGCCCGCTTTCGGCGCAAAATTATAACGTGTAAAACACGGCCTCTCCTTGCATTCCGCGCACGGGATTTTTATGAATGGCGCGATTATTATTCGCATTTTAAACACGAATGCTGCGCCATTCTCCCCGAGACGTATATAGCAATATTCGTAACGAGTTTTCTCAGCGCTACTACCTAATTTCAGGTCGAGGGTGGCCCGCTTTGTACGCGGGTAGGTTGTGCAGTGTTGGCTTGAGTCCACTTTAGGCGAGTGCTGGTACTTATCGAGCACAGTAGCGACTGTCGACGGCTCGTATCGAACGCGATTGCAAATTTATTAGCGGACAGTCGCCGCCGGTCCGCGGGCGCATGTAAGCGCAGTTGTTTTTGCTCGTCGTGTATTTTTTTCTCGACGAGGCTCGGCTCTCCCCTTTTGTTCTCAAGTGGACCAGCTGTCATTATACGCCATGTTACTGTTGTTTTTTTTTTCGACGTTTTTATAGAGTTTTGCGTCGAGAGGGCGTTCCGTTCGGAAAAATGTTCGTTTTGCGTGCGTTCTAGAGTTGGCGTGTCGAGTGATGTCGACGTGGCCGATTGAAAATGAGTTATGGAATTTCATTTCGGATTTCACTCATGCTTTTTCCGTTCGAGGGCCTTTTGTCTAGTTTTTGCAATGATTTGCAGGCAGCTCTTTTGTGGATTTATCTTATTAACAGGTAAAGAGTCCTCATGATCATTCTAAAATATGGAGCGGTGTGAGAGCCATTCAGGTTTTGTTATTTCAATTCTGGTACTTAGAACGGCGTCAAGTTAGTCTGACAATGAATCGACAAACTGCGAGATTGTACTGCCGAAATGATGACATGTGTCATTGCAGTTTTCAAGTGGCTTCTGTTTGATAACTTAAACGTACCCCTTTAGATCTGCGCTCCCCTAGATTTTACTTGCCTACTGCTGCATAAGAACCCCGTGTATATATTTGCATAATAGTTGTTGATAATTATGTTGTATTAGTGCCCTAAAGCATTTACTCTTTTATTTGCTATCCAGTCAAACCAACGTGTTTCGTTTTATGTTTATAATTTTATTAAAAAGACAAATCTGTTAAAGCTACCAATTTAATTATTATTAAAACTAATAATTGTTTTAATTTATATTATCCACACTTTTCAGTTATTATTTACACTTTTTAGTTTCGCCCGGTGAGTGAAATAACCTTAGGTCTACTATCTAAATTATTGACAACCCCTGCCCCTACAAGCTTTTTTTGGTTTGGTTTTGAGAATGTGTATGTGTGACGGCCTTCATTTACCTCCAGGTGAAAACGACTCCATAAAAGCGGTTCGCATTTTTTTTAAAAAAAAATCATTAATTTTATCAAAACAAAGATTAAAGTTATAAATATGTTTTTTCATATTTCACAAATGAACTCTACCAATAAACTCTATTGTTTATAAAATAGGCTCATAAAGAGCTTTCATTCAAAAGAACGTCTCAAGATCGACTTATTGTAAGAATCTTGAATTCCAGCAAATGTTTTTCGAATTTCATATTGGCCAGATAAGTCTCTTCGATGAGCCTTACAGAGTATCTCAACATTCGACGAGCAATATTGCTACGGGTCGACCTAGACGTCTCTACAATGAGTTCTTTAATATTTCATAACATTGGCTGTGTGTACTCTATTATTCTTACCTATATTAGTTTAACGATCGACTTTTTAGTTTTGTAACTTTAAACAAAAATTTACTCCTATTAAGTTTATAATTTAATCAAACTATGCAATACAAATTAATTATTAATAAATAATTCTTTTTTTTTTTGTGTCTATTGATGGCGGGTCCAATAAATACAATACAATACAATAAACTTTATTTGTAAAAAACATGGTTGTACAAATGCAACGTGATGTTGTCATATCTTTAAGTATCGCATGTTTTTTGCTCTAGAGGAGCATACAAATATTTATTGCGCTGTTCTTAGCAACAAATCTTTGCCATAACTGTAAAAAACAGATGTTTTAGGTATTGTCAAAAAAAAAATCAAACGCAATATTTACTGCCCAATTCATTTTATAAATAGAATGAAAACTTTTTTCCCGATTAAAGTTGTCGGGAAATAGAAAATCACTTACCTCATTTTAATCTCCGGAGAAAATCTAAGTGACTCTACGGCCTCTTGGATCACATCGGTCGCCGTAATAAACTAAATTGAGGGTCGGCCCCGTGAAAACTACTCAAATTTACCCGAACAGGTACCGGGTCCGTCTCAATCCAGTGCATTTTAGGAAATTATTTCTCCATCGCGTTTCGGACGTATTGGTGTGCCGCCGAGCGCGCCCTCTGCCGGTGCGTGAGGGAATTCGGAAACGTAGGAGCCTCCCCTCGACCCTCCTCCGTCTTGCCAGACAAGGCTTTGAGCAATAGTGTCACTCACCGCTTCGAGTAGCCCGGCTACGTTTTCCTCCAACAGATTGCATTGACGTAACGCTCAAAGGCGAAATAGGAATCTCGTATTTATTGTAGGCGAAGGGTTTCGATCACCTACAATATACGATGAGATCTGAAAGAAAAATATGATTATTCATTCAATATTATTATTTTAGTGCCATTATCTGTTGAAGATAACAATTATTCTACAAAAAAGCACATTTGAGGTGCACGTTTATTTTTCATTGTATTGCCCTCAGTTTTATTAAGTTATTCTTTTTTCTTCTTCTAATATTAAACGCAGGCAAAGCGATGACCTCGTAGCTCTACATGTTCAACTTGCGATCTAAGTCGTGAGTTCGAATGACAATTGCATTCACCAGTTTTCTTTCTTGGGATTCTTTACGGGGAAAAAACATAATATCTGGTTAAAACTCGATTTACGGAGACAGACTAACCGGGCACGTGGAACATGATATTATGAGAGAGTACAAGGACATGATGAAAATTTATACATACGTTAAATACAGTCAAGCATTTCTGTATCTTAGTATGTGGCTGTAGTGAAGAATTTACTATAATTCCGATTGATCTAACTTACCTTGTGTATTGTTTTAGAACGAAATAGGTGCAATAAAGATACGTCGAAATACTCGTAAAAACTTTTCTTTTAATTTGTAAATATTTGTAGATAAACTAACAAAAAATTTCGGCGCTGCGGGATTCGAATCTACGTCTTCTTTTTTTCCACCCGGATTGACCACTAAGTTAAACGGCCGATGACCATTTCATTTACTTGCTATATATCTGTAATAAATATGTCCGTACTTTGCTATGGTCTTGTCTGTGGGTCCATGTAGCAATGGTACACTCCCCAACTAGTCCATTCGAACATATAAAGTGACACTGATTCGTGCCGCCATTGTGACCACGTCTCGCTCCTCTTCTCTTATTTATTTTATGTATTGGTGCGTTCGCTCTCAATTTTTACTTCAAGTAAAATAGCGGACGCGCAAATAGTTCTATAAAAAATTACAGATTTATTAAACTTACACGCATTAAAGTCAATGATGTGAGATCGAGTTATGCGAATTTTCTTCAGATTTGAAATAATTGTATAAATGTATGTTTGAAATAAATAATAAATACAGATTTGAAGTAATTTTTTTTTTATTTAATTGTTAAATACTGCCACAAGTTCAGTAGTTTAGACTAACTGGCAGACATCCTGAGGCACTAACTAGAAAGAAAAGCTACGTCTTATTTGAAAAATAATCCTCCTTTTTTAAACAGTTTTTAACTAAACAAACATAGCAACCATAACAAATCAGCAACACTAGAATGTGGAACAGCAGTGTGATGTCACTGTGAAATGAGGGAATTATTAAGAATATTAAATAAAGTTCATAAATTATAGTATTTGGAGCCCGGTATTTGACGGACTGTGACGAAATGTGAGAGGAATATCCTTCTCGAAGGACCGTGATTTGAGTTGCATTTACTTGCACGAACATGACATGTAACTCACGTTTTTCACGCGCCAGTAACAACTAATTTATGCAAATCAGCCCCGACCAATAACGCATCAATATGTATGGCACGTATTTACTTAAGTTTGCTCTCGCCTTTGCCGGCTCGTTGAGAATGTCGCGTTGAAAATATTAAGTGTTTGTGAATTTATATTTTTGGTCCCGAGTGATCGGACTACGTCTCCTCCATGACCTATATCTCAAATAATTCTTTAAACAAGACAACATGCAGAAATAAATGTAAGTGTGGTAAAATTACATTTGTAAAGCTATGTATTAGAAAGAATAATTATTTCTTTTTCCATCTTCATTCTATCCATTTCATTTTGATAACTAATTAGCACAAAAATTTTTAAATCAAGAAAAAATAATCAATAAAATAATCGCTAATCAACAAAGTCACAGTTTTAGTCTTACGGTTTCTGAAACACTGATCATCGTAGAAGTCCACTAACTAGCTGTCAAAAGGATTTTTTGTCTCAAACTACTTTGTGACAAACTTTTTGAAGATTGATGCAACGTTATCGGTTCACTGGAAACACAACTGATCGATATCTTGGTATAGGAGAAGCACACAGAGACTAGACCGATTTATTAGGAACATTTGCAGTTGGGAGCCAAACTCTGGACTGGGACATTAGTGGGCTCTTGTCCTATTTTCTCATGATTTCAGGTTTGACTTCCACCCTGATACGAAGCATACGTGTGTGTCGTGCTTCTGGAAGTCTTGAACGGCTGCGTTATCCTCAGGAAATTCATTCGGCTGGAATACAAAAACATCGCAGTTTTATACTGTCCCCGAATTCTTGTGACACGAATCATATTGAGCACACCTGTGATTTACTTGGAAGAAATGTTCGGTGAAACGTAGGCGTACTCCTAGTGGAAATCAGATCAGACAGTATGTGAAACTACACTGCATACCTGTCGACTCAACCCTTAGGATTTAGTTTTGGAAAAATATAACTTCCTAGAACTCTTCAAAACAAAAGCTTCCGAAACTAAAACATACGACGTTGTGATATCAATCAACGATACAAATGAACTATCGCAATGATTAAACACAAGAACCCATTTGTCACATGCGACAGCTGTCAAACGTTCGGGGAATAATTGAATGGTCATTACAGAAAGTGCGACTGTATATACCACCGACCGATTTATTAACGGAGTCACGCAACGCGAGGGACGTAGCACAGGCTGTCACGTGGCACGGGGCATTTTAGGGCTCCGATTTTTCCACATCTCAGACGTTGCAGCGTCAGTGATACAATGGCGCGTTCCCGTCGAGTGGGAGGCTCTTATCGATCTACTGGGACGTCATCGGGCGATAGCGGGCGCGGCGACGCAAAAAGCGTGTCAGTGAGGCGACTACAAAGCCTTTGTGGCGGGACCGGACGCCGCTCGCCGCCGCCACTAGCTTTGTACGCTGTTTAGTGCTCGCTCGGCTCTAAAAGTTCAGCGGCCGTGAGGTCCGGTCGCTCGACCTGCGCTCCTAGGCCTTTACGCGCCGAATGTTACTGACGCACAGCGAATTAGCTTCACATAATATATAGATAGAGGTCACAGGTTCCTCTAATTTATACAGATGAATAAAATTGGAGTTTCTGTTTGTAATATTAAATTAACCGCTATTTACTAAATGCATATGGATGTATACAGGGTATATTTTTGTCTGTCTGTTTGTTCCGGCTAATCTCTGCAACGGCTGTACCGATTTGGACGGGACTGGCAGATAGCTGATGTAATAAGGAGTAACTTAGGCTACTTTTATTTTAGATTTTTTTTATTTTAAATTCCACGCGGACAAAGTTGCGGGCACAGCTAGTATAAAATAATGAAATATTCTGATCAAAAGTATAGGATATTCATGTCATAAAGAATATTCAGCTCAAAAAGGAAAGTAATTTTCTTTCTCAAAACGGTCTATCTAACTGCTGGTTAATTTACAAGTGAGCCGACTTCAACACCTGCTTTAGACATGATCAGTGTAATATAGCAAGATGGTGTCTAGTTCATTGATCTCTATATATACAGATAAAATAAATAAAAATGAATGAATGAATCATGAAAGGCAAAGGACCCACGACTATACCAACGCATCAAGTGGCCGCGTAAGTTTTGTATTTATTAATATTTTCATAAATAAAACTGAATGTATGTATTAAAATATTACGTTTACTATCGCATTATACTTCCAGAACTATAAGGCAAGGGAGAAACCTCAGTAAAATAGACAATAAAAAGTTATAACATATTACTATAAGTTTAGCGGCCGAGGGTGGGCGACGTCTTGAACCGCTAAGAACTTGCTCGGGGCGACTAACTCTGAGATGTTTTCACTCAAAATAATAAGTTCCAAGTCAATTTTTTGCGAAACTCGGTGTAATGGATTGTTGGGAACTTCGATAACTTTCGGAAGTTGCTCTCAGATTTTATTTTGCTGAGGAATTTTTTAGCCAATTTCACCCGACGAAGTTGGAAAATTTCTAGCGAGCCTCCAATAATTCGTAATGACACAACAGATCTTTCTTCATTAAAATTTTGTACGCAATGTCACTATATAATGCAACCAGCGTTAGCCTTTTCGAAGGTTTCTTTTCATTTGTCACGCTTTGTCGTTATTGTGGTGTTTGATGGACGTATTTCAAAAGAAGGAAACTGAAGGATATTGCAACACAATATACCTCCGTAAACGACAAAAAATAATAATAATATACACACTAGGTTATTATAATTTGCAATACAGCAACTTTCGTTTTTTAAAATCAATAACTGGATAATATTTACGAAACAAATACGAAAAGGAAATATCGAAAACCTCATCAATAGTCTGAAACAGAATATGAACTTTGGGGATGAAGAAATTTAGTGGAAGTCATAGACCTCCACTAAATTTCTATATATATATAATATTTCTATACAGGAGAATAGTACTTTTTACATATCGTAAAAATAATACGATATGTAAAAAGTATTATTCCCCTGTCAACTTAAGTCAAAAAATTTAATGTTTAGATAATAAACCCAAACTAATGTTTTCATTAAATTCAACACATAACTGACAGAAGAAGATTTCTTCGAAAGACAATAACTTATCTGTCTACGAGTACTACATGAAATTGACTAATTCTGAAGTGATAAACACTTCCAACAACGGAGATCTTTGCCATAAATCAACCTAATAAAACAAGCGAAGGTGACAAATCGGCTTAATACAACTTTCGCTGAGATTTTTGTCAGGAAAATTTACGAGGCAATAGTAATTACAGCGAATCGGCTATCAATAGTGTGTACTTCATTAAATAGTAATGAGGGCGGGGGCCGCTGGGAACGGGGTGTCATAAGCAAGACGATTTGTAATAGAATAACGCCAGCGCTTTATTGCCGCGACGTCGTGACCCCACAATTTCTGTACGTGGCACATTGATGGCGCGTAAAACAAATACTATCGCACTTCATCCGTCAGCGGGCGGGGGTGAGTTAATAAAATTCATGTATCGGAAACTTATAGCCGTGAAATATTGTTTGCGGTAAGTATGAGGGCGCAACCCTTGGATTTCTTTGAGCGTCAAAAAGTGAACGCTCTCCATAACAACGACAGCAGACAGACGCCAGACCAAGTTGCTTATTTCAGAAGAAAGCACACGGATTGTACCCCTTCTATTTAAAAACGAAATCAAAAGTGTCATTAATAAGCGATAACATTTAATATGTTTAAGCACAGACTTCACAAACATTATGTCTACATAGTTCAAGCTGTGATACACGAGTATGGGCTCCACGTTTCATTTGGGAACACTGAGGAGTTCTTCTTACACTTTAAAGCTACGAATATACTTGTTATATCGTGTATTATTTTTCATTCAATTTTTTATTGGTTACATGTGGATGAATGCAAACATTAACAGACACTATATGTAGACACTATATGGCTTTGTACGGACCAGGGTGTCCAAAGCTTAGGCGGGCGACGAGACTTCGCGGCACCGGCTGCATCAGCATTAAAATAAAAATAAGGAGGGCCATAAATAGTGCGGTACAAAGACAAGATATACGGTTATAGCGAACTGTCCCTCGACCGCGCCCGACTTAGCCGGTAACTTTAAATAGTGGTTTAGAACAATCACTGTCTATGCTACCTAGACATACTGTTAATGTAATAAGAAATATTAAATGGATAAAGTTTAAAAGAAATCCATATCGCGAAATTGAAAATTTTCGTGATATGATGATAACATAAAACTAACTTCTATTACACGTAACATTAAACGCAATAAAATATAAAAGCACCATCGTATTTTAACATTAATCAAGAAGTATAAAATTAGATGCATATTCCTTTGTCAATAAGTTGACTAATAATTTTGATCGATGGCAAAAAATTAATTTCATCATCATCTATGCGAAAATTTTATTTAATAGAAGACAGTTCTTATTTGGGTTAATGCGGTGTAACCCGATCTATGTATTACCATTGCTTGCAATGGACAAGCCTTTTACCAGCTTTATTTTAAGCCTTTCTCATGCTATATTGATTACAATATATCCATTATTAGTATTAAAATCAAATTTTTATTGAATGTTACGGAACACAGGAAGGGTGCCCAACCTGTGTAATTAACTTTTTTTTATTTATTATTCATTTTTAACACAGATAACATCAGTCATGTTTTAAATTGACTCTAGTTAAATATGAAATAGAACGTGTTAACGTTCAACGAGAATAATATATTATTTTTCAATCGAAAATCCACATTTTAACTAGCGTTTCCACGTGGAGTGAAGAAATGGAATTTATAATACGAAAACCTTTTAAGGTTAATGGTGCCATCGGTCATCGTTGTGCATGAGTCTACTTTCCCTTGCTAGCGGAAAGGTCACTCTGTGCGTACTTTCGGCGCCGACAGGGCAAGCCGAAATAAATAAGAAAGCCGTTGTCAACCCCGGGCCACCCTTTATGTTGCGTGATAGATGAATGCCCCTCATTACAGTTAAGGAGAAGTTGAAGGTTACTTTGGTGTTTGCGAAATGCGTTCTGAAATATTCAACAGTGATAAGATTAAATTTACGCATTAATATTAGATTAACAGTTTTGTTGCATTCTCCTGGTTAACTTATTCTAAAATCAGGCTTCCACTCAATTGATTTCTTTCCAAATAAACATTTCTGAAAATAACAACTTTAAATACCCCCTGTCCTATAAATTAATAATTGAAACGCTCAAATCGAATACCTCGAGAAAAGTATACCAGAGTACTATTTCACCTTACTAATTAGTGCAACTAATAGAGAAATCAACAATTAAATTACAGCCGAAAATTTCCTAGTACCTACTAATTACTCAGTGTTATTTTAATACGAATAACTAGATTATATATGTTTTTTTATATACTACGTTACAAAGATAAAATTGTAATCATGACATTCCTAGCCCAAATATTGTCCATACAACTATGTAGTCACACATTTCCTTTACTCAATGTCATTGAGGAGTTACTGGTTAATGGAAAAATAGTGTCGAAGCAAACTCCACTCACATGTTCTATGTGCGCAATATTTCTCATTGTTCGATCTATTTTCTTGATTGTCGGAACTTACTTGTATATATTTATAACATAAAACGTAATACAAATCAATGTTTAACTTAATTAATTTAAAATCATTTGAAATTTAAGCAACTCAACATATCAACTAACATGTTATAACTTTTTACAATGACTTTGTATTGTTGTATTTTGAGTCTCATCATCCCCCTTCAAAAATATTAATTTCGTATTAATTTAATTAAATCAATAAAGGAAAAATTATTTGTTTTTATATGTATAAGAAAGTTTTAAGGATTTGAATAAAATCATCACAAAATCAAAAAGTTATTGTGATATTCAGCGTAAATATTAAATATAGGCAACATTTTCTTATAATCTGGTCATTAGAAAATTAAGGTTAGTGATACCATTTTCGCAAAGTTACAATACGTCCAATACATTGCACAAAATTATTCCAACGAAATCGCGGCATGTGGAACAAGGACCCACACTCTCTGGTCACGAGATACCAAGCCCTGAGAGACCCGCCAATGTGTCCGTAAAATTCTCGAAGATGGCACGAGTAGCACTTTCCAAGGTGTCATTAGAGCTACTTCCACGAGTGTCCTGCAAAATGTTCGGCCGCCGTACGACTAATCGTCGGAAATTGACGCCATTACCGAGCGAACTCGTTTCAACTAAAAATTATTATTGTTCGCACTAAGAGTGGCCACTTTGTAGCCGATTGGCTCCCGATGTTAACGTTACTTAAGCTTTAAGCATTTAATGGATAAGTCGTTTTATAACAATGTACTTGTTCAATGCAGTTCGCTTGTGAAATAGAAAAATGTTACCATCATCATCATATCAGCCTGTAAGCGTCCACTGCGGAACATAGGTCTTCTCTAGGGATTTACACTTCAAAAAATGTTATGTTTGAACGTAACTCTTAAAATATTAAATTGATAAAACAAAAATGTAATAAATGTGAACTATTCACGGTAGATAAAATATAGATTGCTTACGTCACATATAAAACATTAATCATTTAGTTACATGCATTACACATTAAAGCACTTGAACCGAATCTACGGTTTAATATAAAAGCACTAAGTTGTCAAACGCAAAACACTCGACTCAAAAGGGCTTAATATTTTCTATATAAAGGGGTATTTATTAATATTGTACGTTGTATGAAAAATCATCCATCAGATGATTTTTCAGCTATGGAAGAAGTTGCGTGAAAAAAATCATAAACTGTCGCACCGAGTAATCAACACTCGAGAAGAAACTTAAAAATACCTCTCAGTTGACATTACCCCCGGTCCTCGGAGCCCTCGGCTTCCGGTTATCGCAACACAAAGAGGACCGGCCCGCCCGCCCCTCCCCCCGCCCCCCGCATCGCCACCACCCGGCCCTTCCAACAGGAACCGGAAATACTACCCTTCTATCGCAAGGTCTACCCGCGTCACTCCGAGTTACGTAGAATTTAAAAAGTATTTTTAGCCCACGGCCTAAAGTGTGCTAATGACGAATCTGTTGCAAGAACTTTTGTGTGTTTAAGGAATACCGAGCTAAAGACTTCACTTACTAATGGAGGTCGCCCGTTTTGCAATGCAAATGTTCAATGAGCACACAACGCGATGGACCTGTTTTGTATCATATTTTCAATGTACGTTCCGTTACTTGAAGAAATGAATGTCTTTTGAAAACTGTGGAAACCCAAATAACAAATTCGCAACTTATTTCTTAATATATGAATACATGTTAAACAAACATGAGCAATGTTGGATAAAAAGCGGAGGCACGCAGCGGCCAGGGCGACCCGGAAGCGTCGCTAATGCATCCGAATGCAGCCGGGGCCACCCCTGCACGCGATCAATTCATTAGCCAGGCATTGTTATAGACCAGTCTCTTGGTAATAATATGGAGTTCTTGGTGAAATCTAGCATTGACATTTTTCTATGCGTTTAAAAGCAGAATTATATATAAAAAATATACAGTTGTTTAATTAAATTAAAATGTATTTATCTATTTTATAGTTATTTCGTGGCAGTGTATGGGGAGGCCTGTGTTCAGCTGTGGACTCAAACAGGCCGAAATGATGATGATAATGATAGTTATTACAGTTTAATAAACAGTTCAGTAAATGAAATTATATTAAAACCAATAAATAATTATGAAGATGAACAATAATAACCAAAAGTAAACAAACATCAGCTTCCTTATAACAACTTAGTTATATATATATATATAACAACTTAGAAATAGTTGTAATAAACATGTGTCAATTTATAGCTTATTGGCTACGTATAAGCTACAAAATGATATACCTACATTTCATTATCTTTAATTAGAACCTTGCGCATTGTAATTCCATTTCAATATTTTTAATACAAAGGAATACTTTAATTCATGCTACAAGGTGACGTTGCGATAGCACTACCACTGCACGGGTCCATAGCCGAGCTACCATTTGATAAATATTGGCAATTTATTTCGTTCCTGAAGTAATTTTTTGAGAGCGCACCCGCAAAGGGGCGAAATGGCGTCGCACGCCATGCTCGACAGAGCAGCGCTGAAGTTTGGCGGGAAAATAAAAAACGCGTTTAACTTTGTGTTAATATTATATTGTGCCATTATTGCGCCATTTATTATAATCCTGCGGAAGGGATGGGGTCGAGAGTTCGCGTTTAATGGACGTTTTGTTTGGGAAAAACAATTTTTAACCAGTTTAACGATTTTATGTTAAACCTTTCGGAAGGGAATCATTTTTCAGACGAATGTTTAATGTGGCGTAATGTGTGCATAAAGAAATTTAAATCGTTACGGAAAATTTTGTGAAATTTCGAATCAATTCAACGTTTTCATTAATTTTGTCCTGATATATTGTAGGTATTACTTTATTTTTTATAATAGTTTATACGTTTTATATTACGTTATAATAGTTTATATTATATAATGATATATATAATAGTTTTTGTTTGATACAAGAGTTGGGAAGTAATAAAAGGTTAATCTCTTATATGCATAATTTTAAAATGCATTAAATAGTCTGTTGTAAAATAAAGAGTGCTCGATTTTTTTTCATAACACATATGACTTGTTATTTTGTTTTATATAAATATAGTTAATAAGGGTGTCTTCGGGCTTACCATATTTCTGTTATCTCAAATAAATCATGCATGGATAGACGTGACATGGTAGAAATAAACTTTGCATGGATAGACGAAATATAGCGGTGTTAAATATTTGTGTCGTAAATGAAGGAATGTACATATTAAATACACAAATAACGCACAAGTCTTATATTAAACTTGTTGTGCCCGCGATTTCGTCCGCGTGGAATTAAAAGTAAATAAAATTTCTAAAATAAAAGTGACACATGTTCATTTTCATATTTTTAATACTCTTCTTCTTTCCTATTCTCATGAATAAGTAACTTCGCATTATTTAAAGATATTTTAGAATCAGTCATTTCAATTATACCAGCTAGGTAGCAATACATAAAAGTAAAACTTTAATATCTTTATAATTATTTGAATATATGTATATCCAATGACCTAATTCGTACCGCAAATTTTTTAACTTACGCTAAAATCATTAATTATGGTGCCGTGTAGCCGTCCCCGGCTTTAGTGTGAACCTTGCGGCTGCTAACTAAGCCCTCAGGACATTCATTACCATACTCTTAGGGTGTACGTGAAGTGTGCAGAAATATAATGGCATTCGAGTTTTATTTTATCGCGAATACCATAATATATTCACTCGAAACAGTTTATTCCTCTCATTTGTAATAAAATAAATTGTAAAGTTCAATTATAATTATTGTATTTTGAACATTTTACACAGAACATTTCGTTAACATTTAGTCATTCTGGCGCAAATTCAAGTTCCAATTTGCTTCGTGATGTGTATAGAATCGAGATTGATCGCGATGGACTGTACTAGTGCGGAGACCCTTTGCCGCAACTAGGTGACCTAGGATTCTAAGTCAAATCAAGTTAAACAAATGAAGAACAATCTAAATGAAGATATCGTACATAAAGCTCTCACATATTGTAAAATCAGCTCAGCTAAGGATACAACATAAATATCCAAAATTGAAAACAGAAAAAAGTTTTGTATAGATACATAAAAAAAATCTCTTTTAAAAAGCCAAGGAAAAATTTTACACAAAGCATCGCGAGATGTGTTACAAGTGTTAATATAACATTTCTCTAAATCATATTCGCGTCGAAGTGGAAACATTCAGGTGAGGTAACCTTACGTCGAGTTCGGCCAGCGGCGACATTGACACGTCTCCTGCCACTCGGCCGCTTGATGGTCCTCCGCGCGGGCCCTCGAAACCCTCTAGTGCCATCGCTGCATATTCAAACCTGCGCCCATACACCTATATCTATTTGACTGGAATGACAGTTGCCTAAGTGGCCTGAACACAGCGCATTCAGGGCCAAAGCCATTCAGGCACGTGTGATTCCGCTAAAATCGCTAATAGAGCAGAAACTTAAGCGCGATTAAATTTCATTTACCCGACCGGTATACGATATAAATATTTTAATTGCACATTGTCATATTGAAAATAGGTCCGATTATGTACAATTCGCTTAACTGCTTTTACTTTTTATGATTACTATAAAGGCATATAATTAAAATGCGTGAACTGTAGACTACATCGAACCAGCAATCAAAAAATCTTTACCTACATCAATCATAACTCATTTGTTTAAACATACTTCAAATTTCTATACTTTTCCAATTTAGTTTCAGGAGGTCTCTCATGTCATTAATATGTAGTCTCACATGGGAAACCGAAATAAACCGAACCCAATGCAAAAACATTTTTAAAATCCGTTCATAAATGACGGAGCTTAGACTTTTTTCTTATGTGAGAAAGTGGCTAACGAGCTGGTGGTTCACCTGATGTTAAGTGCCGCCCATTGATATGTGCAACACTCGTTGAGTTACAGGTAGTTGCCACCTTTTAATAAAGACCCGGACAGTGAGGTAGCCGGACCCCGGCTCCTCACTGTCCGGGTCTTTATTAAACAGTGAGGTAGCCGGACCCCGGCTACCTCACTGACCAGACGAAACGCAGAAGTACAATACTTCCACTTCACGCCGGTCTTCTGTGTGGTCGTGGTACTTACCCGGATAGACCTACCCATTCATGCAACAGCTAAGACTGGTGCGTAGCCCTGCCACAGTCATGATCACAGTCGTTTGAAAATGGCAAAAACCCTGTGTGGGTTTTATTAAATAATATACGCAACAGAAAGAAAGTAGAGAATACGTTTGTCAGCCATGTTCAAGCAAAATGTAGTTATTAAGCTTGTCCATCGCAGACAACGATGAACGGAAACTGGACGGAGGCGTAGGAATTTCCCCCTACCGACACCACGCACCCCCAGCCACCCTCTTACCTGCTGCGTCTTTAATTGAATAATCCACGTCATTAATCATAGCACCCCGTCTGGAGTTGAACTTAAAATTATTTTCAGTCATCCCTAATAACCGGATCGATATCCCCTGGATCCTTTGTTCTTTTGATTCGTTCGGCAATTTTTTAATTGCATATGCATTGCAAAAGATAATTTAATATACCATAGTTATGTAATGCCAATGAAATATTACGTAATTAGTAGAGATATTTACAAAATTTGTTACAAATACTATACGTCAGAGACAAATGCGGGAAAACCCGGAATACAGGGGAACAAAAAAAAACATATAGTTTAAGAGAGAAATAAGGCAACTTTATTATTATCTTTGAATTTGAATTTCAATTAGCTGCGAGTCTTCCGAATTCTCCACGAGCGATCACGAATAAAAAAGATATAAAAAACGAGAACTACTATTGCAGTAGACATCACTAATTCGGAGGCGGTGCTCCGTAACTGATCCATACCCATAGAAAGGTTTCACTATAAAAATAAACAATCCACTCCATCTACGACTATGCGAGTCGTGATGTAAGGGACGGCTGTACCTACATCAAAATCAAGACCCCGAACACGTACTACCCACATGACATGACCCGCCGGCCCACGCCTTACCTACGTTATATGCAGGAAGCCCCAACTCCTTAACGCACACAGGCAAACAGTACACAATTCGCTTAATCACACACACACACACACACAGCATCGCCCCTTTGTCTTAGCTAAGTGTCAACCAATAAAAACAAAGGATTCGAAAATGGAACAAAAAGAGTGGACCAATCGTGTGGCGCGTCACGCATGTTGTTGTGCGGCTATTGGCTTGGAAAAAAATCCGTTTAGCTCCGATGACTCCGGCTAGACATTGAGATTGATCGGACGCAATTTGTAGAATTAGAAGTTCCTTGTCTGTCATGTGCATATATACATGAAATGGAGCGTAGTAATCGGATCCCATTTGATAAACTATTTTTGTTTCATCGAGTTAAACTTCTATTTTTATAGTTTTAGAAAAACATGAAAACGCATAAAAAATATGTAACTAAAGTAATGGACATACAGAAAATAACATTAAAAAAAAAGACTTTTAAAGTGACAGCTTACAAGTTTTAAATATTTGCATACTATTGAACACTATTTATTCAAAACAGTAATGGATCAAGTTCAGATCGTATTAAATTTCACGCATAGACACTAATTTTGTATAAAATGTTATTGCCAAATTTATTACAATTCTAATTTTTACTTTATTCTTACTTTAAAGCCTATTTTATATTTAAAATAAAAAGATCATGTAATGCCAAACATTTATTTTCTCCTCTTGTTAGGAAATTCTTATCCTTTAAACGAGCAATTCTTGTATATATATATATATATATATATATATATATATATAATCGAAATCTCGGAAACGGCTCCAGCGATTTTCATGAAATTTAGTATGTTCGTAGATTCGGGGGCGAAAAATCGATCTAGCTAGGTTTCATTTTTAGAAAACCTAGCTAGGGCGGCCCTAAAACAAACGGCCGCGGTTCGTATCACGATCATTTACACACTTATTTTTTTACTTTTTTTTCGATTCCAGATCTTTGCTCTCTTTATTTTTTATTTTTTTTGTCGACTTGTTATTTTGTTATCTTTTTCCCTTTTTTTAAAGTTCTTTCTTTTGTGACCAGTTCATATTTTCTTATTATTACGTCGGTAAGATCGAAAAATATTATCCATATTTCATTCCTCAGTAATTTGTATCCAAATGTAATTTCCAAAATACACGATTTTCCAAAAAAAAAAAACAAACCGAGCAAAGGTCCTCCAGGTACTGATTGTTAAATCATCATCATCATCATTTCAGCCTGTTTGAGTCCACTGCTGAACATAGGCCTCCCCCATATACTGCCATGAAGTACGATCCTGAGCCACCTGCATCCATCGACTTCCCGCACATTTGCACAGGTCGTCACTCCATCTAGTGGGGGGTCGTCCTACACTGCGATGGCCAGTACGCGGCTGCCACTCGAGAACCTTTCTTCCCCAACGGTTATCGGTACTACGAGCTATATGGCCGGCCCATCGCCACTTGACATTAAATATCAAAAATCAAAGATGATATAAATTATCACTCTATTAATTATGCCACGTAAATAGGGCTTTCGGTTCCAAAACGAAAGGGTAGGTAATGATAATTTGTTCATACTGCTAATAATGGACCTTGAATTGAGCTCGGGAGAGATAATGAAACGTCTATCGATCAGTTTTTAAACCGAAAATTGGCTGACCCTTCTCGTAGATCAACCTGAACCAACTAAGATCGTGTCCCCACTTCAAACGCATGCACCATTTTATATCAATATTCGTGGCGAGTTCTTTCGCTGTTGAGGCGGTTATCACTTCTCGGCACTCGCGGCACAGACTTAAGTAGACATCCAGAATAAGGAGAATAGCGCGCAACGTGTTCACGTGTGAACGGGGATCGAGGAAGCCAACGGGGGGCGGGGGCGTTCAGAGGGTCATTTATCATTCATATCATCTTCGCTCCACTTCGCTCGCCGCACCGCCGTAAATAAATAAGAACAGACTCATCTTTTACAGTCGCCCGCAATATCGACATTCGAACCAATACTCTATACCTGAAGGTGTACATACCTTTATTCAGTGTGGGCACTGTGTGCATTTAAGATGTTTTGCACCTGGGGTGGTAGTTAGTGAACGTGTGTAGGTAACTATGCATGTGTTTTAGATTCATGTGTGTAGATAATAGACGTTTTATGCTATATACATACACGTAAGTGCGGGTGTTTCATATTATAATTTAAGTTTTGAAGTCGTGTCACGTTTTGGTGTTTATGAAGTTTGTTACGACATACCTAAATTAATTGGATTCAAGTAAAACATTATTACACGCATGGTGGGAAGTAATTCTATTTATAGTCGTAATCTTGCACTTCGACGAAACAAATAAGATTGTTCAAAAATAATTTAATAGCTTAGGTTTTAATTTATGCTTATCTGTAGTATAATTAAAATAATTTTCCAAATGTGGTGGTGGTGGTTATAACTCCGTTAATATTTAATATATATTAGATAAACATATATTAGATAAATATATATTAGATAAATATATATTAGATATAATATATAATAGATGTTATTTAAATAAATATTTTTAAGCAGCAATGTAAGAGTAAAAAGGAAGTATTGAGACCTTTGAGTAGATATACATGGATAACACAACGTGAATATGAAAATCCGAAGACATTGAAGGGTACGGTTACCAGTGATATACCTTTTCATGAATGGTACCATAACCTCATATAGTAGCAGTGTGAAGTGAAAGTATCATACTTGTGCATTTCATCTGGGAAGTATGGTAACCGTTGCCCACTCTTTAAAAGTTTAGCAACGCAACATTTGACAACTCTGATGTTGTCGATGTCCATCAGTGGCGGTAATCACTTTAACATCAGGCGACCCGCCTGCTCGCTTGATAAATTTAAATATAAAAAAGAAGCTAGCTTTTTGTCTTTACACTATTTTGTATTGGTATTTTAGCAGTCTTGCGATATAAGCTGGAGACGATACGACCAGCATTCATAACGTCACTGATTATGTTGCACTGATCTTCTTTTCTTAGTCTCGCATTATTATTTTATTTATTTATTTAATCTTTATTGCCAACCTTAAGCAAAACAAGGTACAAAGGGTGGAACTACCAGACTACGCATAATGAAAGTTTAAGGTAGGTGGAGCAAAAGATGTAAGAGTAATTAAATTTTAGATAATGAGAATAAATATGTACTTAGATAAAAAATAATAAATATATAGTAATAACGTATAAACATATATCCAATTAAATATACATAAAGATATATACTTATATATGTATGTAATGTATTTATACTTATACCATATACTTGTTGCAACTTTAAAGGATCATGTTTTATTGAAAAATTCATAACAGAATTGATAATATTGGTAATAAGTAAATATGAAACATAAGGTAGGTGAAATTAAATCAGTAATTAATGCCGATCAGTAATTAAATATGGAGAAAAGGCGATTAAATAAGAACGTCTAGAAATGCTATAGGTATTGTATACCAAATTTCCTTTTATTTTTCATTAAAAAAAAACAAAATGTCCGAGTAATTTAGGAATCGATACTTATTCACTTTTAGTAGTAATAGAATTAATATCATAAATTGTGAAATCAATAATAAGCATGAATAACTTCTTAATTATCGCCTGATAATCATTTTATTAGTTAACATTTCACAGTAAAAATAGAAAACAATTTACTCACTTTTATTAAATTCTTTTTACTACAAACAAAAAGCCTATTAAAACCTGACATAAAACATAACACATAAAAAATCTAACAAACCTGCAGTCTACAACCAAATAGCAAGCATGACACCCCAATAAACAGATACGATAGAACCTAGCAAATTATAAATATCTACCAAGGAATCGATGTTATTAAAAACTGACGATACGCCGGGACAGTGACATTAAATACCTCAGTCCGTCCCGTCGGCAATTTAAGTTACTTTAATTTAATATCATCTATAATAATTGTAGCAAAATGGAGCATTATATTGGCAAATATACACTTCTATGAGGCTTACGAGAGCGGGCCCAACAATTGCGAAACCTTCTATTATCGAAGCTTATTAGGTGCTTAGACTCCAAATAATTCCGCTCGCCCCGCACTAAGAAGATTAACAGCGATTGAACGTTCCAAGAAGGTCGCTCGATGCCGAACATAATGGCCTGGGACAGGTATGAAGGAAGGCACATCAATCTGGGCAGCCTGTTCCCAATCGATCGGTGACCGCCCGTTCACGTTCGTAAAACCCACCGGAAAACATAAGAACGCAATCAGATATCCACGAGTACTTCTATTACTTTTAGATCAAACTATAACCCTATAATGGAAAAATCCATCATTCTACTCGATCAATACGTTTGTGTCTATACATCTGTGTTTGTCAACGCATTGAGAAAAGTCTTTGTTTTAATTTGTGGTAATCTTTGAGCAGTATAATATTTTCTGTCGGTCGTTTATTAGTTAAAAGGAGTGTAAGACAGTTCTAATAACGAATGAATCCTGAAATTTTAGGTCGACCTCTTATCACATTATTGTAATAATTAAATTCCACAGATTAACATTTACATTGCAACTTTACTTTACTTTTTGCATTGCACAGTTATTAATCCATCAAACGGCAGTTGATGGAAAAGTCAATACTTAGTATGTAAGTAGAAATTTTAAAATAAAAAGAAAGGTAAGCAAATATGCCGCATTTAAATTGGCAGAATTAAAAACTAAACATGCAAAATTGCATGTTTTATGGCACAATGTATTAACAATATATTAACATAATTCACGAACGCAATGAATAATAGTGACCACGACTTTTGATTTATGCTTTAATTTACGAACTCTAAAACAACTAATTACATGATACAGTTAATGTGTTCAAAGGTTAGCCGAGATGAAAACTTATTTCTTAGCAATAAGAACAGACGAAGTAATTATGTAAGACAGTCGATAGTACATCAATTTGTGATCCAGTAATGACTGAGTGTATGCCCGAGCCACGTTTGTTTAGTCTGTCATAATTGCACCGCTGCATCTCGGCGCTGACGAGTCGCCGGCACAAAAACTCCTAAATCCAGTTCATTAGGGCTCTATTCACGGCCCACCCCTGGATGGAGATACGCGGTGATTACTGCAACCGCTCCCGACGGCTCACGAATAAAGACTGCATCATAATTTCACCAGATACACCCTCGCTGGGAGGCAATCGAATGCCGACCTTAAACCGACAGTGTAAAGTCTCTTTTCGCGTGTTCCCACCTAATGTCACTTGCACAACGTCATGTAAAAATAATGAACATACTTCCTCCGTCACCGAGCAAAGTTAAGTCTTGAAATTATGATGGGAAGAGTGATATTCGTTCGTGAAAACTTAGCGGAGATGTTTTGTAGATTAATAGGAGGAAAAGTTTCGCGGGACATCGCTCGGGCAAGGTTGTCGCAGTTGTGATTCAATTTGGACGCTAATTTAATGACGTTGTCGCGGAGGTAAACAAATTGATATTCATATGGGACCACCGTGAATTTAATATGTTTGCTTTCATTTTGCACTGATGTAAATGTTTACTTTAGCCGATGTGACTTTAGATAACAATTGCGTAAAGATTCGAACCTTGCATTATTTTAAGAGGTAAAAAATAATGTTGCTTATATTTTATTTATCAGTGTTTGATATTGAAAAGTATAAAATTTTATTTCAAATTTAGGCTCGACGCTATTAACACTTTACAGTTAAAGTCAATGCTAAAGAACACTGTAGATTAAACGACGTAAAGATTTTCGTCGGTGTGGCAATCAGCAGCTTAGTGGCTAAAGCCTCAGGCCGCGAATGCCGAAGACGTGGGTTCGATTCCCACAGAGGCGACAATCTTTTCGTACTTTTTCTACAAATTTTAATGTTTAATCTTAAGTGCAGAGATTAGCACTATAAAAAATTTAAACACTTTACAGTATTCAATTCGGGGTAGACTAAGTTGATTGACGCCCTAATATCACAGCTAAACCGCCATCAGAATATTTCATTTATTTACTTATTTGGCCCATACAGTGTTTGTATTCAACAGAACTCGAACTTCTACCGTAATTAGGATGGAATTTCTTTCCTTATTTTATTTTGTTGTATTTGAAAATCACATCCTAGCTTACATGTTTCTGGCCACTTGTAGAAACATAAAACACTTGACTGATGATAAAAACTGACAGGTCATCTTAATTTAATACACTATATGTTAAGACTAAAGAAGCAAAAAACCATGCAGCGTTTATCATAGGAACGAAACCTACTCTCGTTGGTGCCTTCGTGCCGACGCCCCTTCTCGATTGATCATACTGGCGTCGGAAGGCGCGTTGAAGCCAATATTAGCCCACCCTGGAACCCGGTCGCGGTTCCCAGCGCGCGCGCATACTTCTCTCAACGAGATAATTGGAGCCCCGGCCGACGAGCGGTGACCGGCCATTGTTGGCGTCGTTACACCCTCGTTATTCAATTCAACACGACGGCCGCACTCGTTGTTTCGTACGAGCGTATCGAGGCTAATCTTGCAGTACGTTTCTTAGAACAAACAATATGTACGGTTAGTCGTTCTTCAAGTGAAACCCATCGTAAGAGCTATCTCTTCAACAATGTCAGCTTTATGTTATAATTATCGCATTGGCCTTATATGTAGTAGGTTATAATTTCTTGTATTTACGAGATTACACATTATAAATGAAACTATTTACGGATTTATGTCTGTCCCGTGACCATGAACGCTGTAAAGGGTTCGAAACGTCGGGATTAAAATTAACAATAAACGCGATAAATCCGTAAAAATTAAAGTATCAGCCTATACATGTCACACTGCCGGGCAAAGGCCTCCACTATACAGAGGGTATCAGGGCATAGTCCACCACGCGGCCCCACTGCGGATTAGTGGACTTCACATATCTTCGAAATATTTTTTTTGTTATTATTTCGAAAATATGCAGGTTTCCTCTCGATGTTTTCCTTCACCGCTGAGCACGTGATAATTCAGTACTTAAAATTGACAATTTCATTGGTGCCGGCACCGGGAATCGAACTCAGGTTGCTCGAGTATATTGAATTAAAGGCGAGCGCCCGGACACTGAGCTATCACGGCTCCGTAAAAATTAGTTTCATTTATAATGTAGTAGGTTGATAAACCCGTGGTAGGTAATCGCTTAATAAGAGTCTTCTTAGACACTATGCTCATCTTTTGTTTTCCGAACTCTAAAGTAAATTGTTGTGACCTAGTTAGTGACTGGGTTTTCATGTTCCCAAAAGACATACTCATCATATTGTTCCATATATAAACAATATGGAAATTTTGTTAAGCGTCTAGTACATCTTGATGGTAGGAAACATTTCAGACTATTCCATAGAAGTTCAAGAAACTAAAAGCAGTAAAATCTTAAAAATACAAGTCAAAAAATTAACTAAATTAATACTAATCATGCTATTAACAAATATATACATTTAAGGATATATGAGCTTTTTAATTACATCTCGCAAATGTGTAGACTGTAGAATGTAAATTTATTTTGGAATTTATTAGTTTTAACCTTATGCTGCATTTATGGTTCATCAAATAACTGGGATGATGCCATTTGAACTTTTCGTTATGCCTCTTTTCATTTTGTTTAATTAATATATAATAGTATAGATGTCTATTTAATTAAGCCATACTTTTAGCACTTTCTTAAAGTTTAGATATCACCATGAAGAATAAAGAATAATAGCCGTGATTAAAGAAGCCCATAATGATGGGTTCATATTTTTGGTTTCATAGTCAGCACCCTCCACCTGACAAACCTGACCCCGTAGCGTCGCGTAGGTATCCGTAAAACTCGTGTGCACTCGGCGAGAGGGTATTTAGGAGGCTAAGCGGAGCTGTAAGGTGCAGATAAACGCGGCCGAAGTAATCCTCTTTGTGTAAAAATGTCCCCAGTGTCGCCCCCTGCCGGCGGAGCTTTATTAAAAAGCACGTAATCCAAACTAGTGGACTGGGTAACGCGATTATGCTCTATATTACAACAACTCAATACGCCCGCCCCGATATGAAATTGAATTTAAATCCGCCCGTGTTCATGACACCGGCACTACTAATATATGTACATCTGTCAGCTTTGACCACTACAGCCCGCTAATGAAAGCTATAAATGTTCAAAGTTATGAATTATTAGTAATCCAATATTAGATTAAATCATTGTAGTACAAGCTTTCTTGATTTCGAATTTCGAATATGATCAGATCCTTTAACGCGTATACTTTTACTATTGTGCTATTACGTGGTTTTTTATTATGTGGGCTATACGTTTATCAGATAATATATATGTATACTATTACTTCATACAGATGTGTCTTCTCATATTTCGTAGACTGCAACCTTGAAAGTAACGCAGACAATGCCGAAATGATTAACAGAACATTTCTTGTCTCGTGCTCGATTACAGCGGAACAACAGCGGAAGCTTTTTAATTTTTCTCCTTTTTGTTTTATTCAGACAAAAAAAAAATATTGCACCGCGAGTTCAAGCGCGAGTGGCGTCTAATATGCACGCGGGAGTTGTCAGTGTTCGTATCTTGACACCCCGACAGACAGGAAACGGGGAGAGGTGGCACACTTCATTACTCGCACATCAAACAATCGCGCAGCCGCCGCCATCTTGCCGGAAGTGACGTCACTGACGTGCCACCGCGATCGCTTTGATCCTCCGCAAAAATAACGTTCTAATTCAGCCCCTGCAAAGCCTACTTGTCGTTTACACTGGGTAATGGAATTGTTTTCAATGCGCCTTTAATCTTCAAAAGTCAAAATTTTCTAAGGAAAAGTCTCTTTTGCCGTTTCCATCAGATTTTTTAATTTATTTTCATCACATTGAATGTTTATAATATTTATAGTTTATTTTATTTTATTTATGTATGTATGTAAAATAAAATAAAATAGTTTCATTGAATGTGAAATTGATTGTTATTCATTTTATATATCACATGAACTGCTGCTCATTAATGTCCTATATTTCTTTTAAACTTACCAATTAGATCAATATTCTAAACGGAAAACTGTTATTAAGAAAATCTATATTTTTTATTTGTTAATTTTTTATTTAGTATAAATATTGGCATTGACAATGCTTTTAATTTAAATATTCATCTTTTCGGTTTGAGTTGTAAATGATTTTAACTATTAAAAATATGGAATCTCAGGTTTAACTCAAACTCCATAGGTTTTCATTTTTTTTAAAGAAAGCTGTATAATAATAAATATAAACAATGTGCAGATATATGAAGTCCGCTAATCCGCAGTAGGGCCGCGTGGTGAACTATGCCCTGATATCCTCTGTACAGAGGAGGCCTTTGCCCAGCAAAGGGACATGTATAGGCTGTTACTTTACTTTTTACTTTTACTGTGTTCTTTAATAATAATAATCAATTGAATGTGACTATGATACCTACAACATTTTTGTAAAATAAAATCGTAATGAAACCGTATACCAAACCAATAGCAGACGTATTAAAAATTTAAGAATGTCTTAACGCATGTTTAAATCAACCGCAGGCGATGACGAATATAAAATGAAGTTGAATAAATTCCGGTATACACTTTAAGCACGCTCTGAGAACGATTTCATTCGTGATAAAAGCATATAAACGTGGAGCCGGGGCGTATATCGAATTACACGTAATGTGACTAAACGCCCACTTTGTAATTGCGTTGTAAGGGTGCGCAAAGCACAATTCACTCCGATGCGACGGCAAAATGTAAAACTCTTAATAACGCAAATAGCTTAGTTAGGGTTGGATTAAACAAATACTCTGAATATGCATTGACTCATAAATTTTATTGTTTTTTTTACAACATAGGTACGTCAAGTTTAAAGCTGGTTTTACAGATTTATTGAATTGTATAGATTTAAGAGTGGCCGTCGACGCTGACCATAACTTTAATAAAGAAAAAGTGCGTTTCTGACTTTTCAGAAAAATTTTATGGAGCAGACAATTAATAATACTTCGCGCTGTTTAACTGCAGTTTAATTTGATTCTCTAATACAACAACTTTACACTTAAATCAGTTCATTACATTCCTAATCATTTTTTAGATGCGATAATGAAACATGTTTCTTTATTTTTTACAGTATTATAGGAACTCTTTTGTGTATTTCATCAAGATTTTTTAGTTTCATAAAACGTCTACAGCAGTGACCCACGTTACAATAAATCGTCAAAACAACAAAACGTAACACTAAATCACGTCGCCATTCAAAACAGTGACTCCTTCTGATCCCAAAAAAGTCCTTAAAAACTGTGTCATCTTCCGTCACGAAACAAAGGTCTTCCTTAATTGTCGGTGCAAAGAAAAGAAAAACACAAAGGCGTTAGATGTCATGCCTTATCAACGGAATTAAAGGATATTATATGTTCGTTGTAAGGATTACACAGGTGTCCTCACAAATTCGAGGGTTCCTGCATGACGTATAGAATCTGTATTAAATCAATTTCGTATCATGGGAATCATTTATGAAGTTATAATTTGAGTGACATCCAAAATATTTGATTGCACTTTAAAATAAAATTTTGCATAAAATTAGATGATCAATAAAAATGTACGTATACTGCTAGGTATATTATATAATCAAAAATTTTAAGTAATATTTTATTACATCTTCAAAACTCTTTTAAACGTCACCTCATTATATATGTGTATAACATATATTGTAAACAGAACAATGAAATAGCATCAGCATTTCCTAATTACTACTCCGCTATGTATGAAAGTAATCTTACCTTTTGTTACGAAGGCTTAAGATGTTCAAAGCAATGAAAATCAACATGTTTACTTTACATGTATTTACTTATGATCATAAAACAAAGCGAGCGAGTCACAAAGTGGCCAGTGGCGTCTTAAGACAAAGGCAAAGAACAACGGGGGATCCGACCGCCGACTTTCTTATGCGGCGAGTGTATGTTGTCTTTAACTTTAAAAAATATACTTATGCAGGTCGAAAATAAAAGAAATCGTGGCAGGTTTTTAAAAAGCACACGGTCTTATTAACGCGAAACTCAAGAAAATTCCTCAGTTTCGCAAAGGTGACCTTTACTGTTTCTCACTTTAGAAATAATTTTACACGAGCAGTAATTTTCATTGACGATGTTTGCCAAAATATAGGCAGCCTTGGACGTCCGCCATTAACCTCCATCAAGGGAAGTCTTGAACGAATGTCATTTGCGATGCACTTTGTCTCGCGTCTCACATTACCTGTCACAGCCAGCCATTAGCGCTCTGACCTCCCACGTTTCTAACTTACCCTATGAAACTTACCCTCGCGTCTTGGGTGACGGCTACGTTATATTGGCAAACGGCATCTGTGGGTCAAACTTAACGCAGTTACAAATAAGGTGTACTTTTGATCGGATCCGAATTTCGGAGGGAAATATTCCGAGTGCATGTCCACAGACG